AAACATCAACACGACATAACTACTAAATTCACAGCTTTTAGATAATACTTATCACAACAAGTCAACAACATAAAGCAACAACAAATATATCATCACCATAACTCAAGATGCAACATCAACTGCGACTCAATTATAATGCACATGCATGTGGTACCATTGGAGCAGAACTCCCAACTTAAAAAATCTGCCAATAAGTAGAGGCATTAACAAGGCATAAATCTTCTTCGCAGTTTGCCAATCCAGGCCATCACAGAGTATGTAAATGTATATGACTCAATGAATGCACTATCATATACTCATAACAATCATCATACATCACAAGGCATAAGCCCATATCACCATTATTACCAGTAAATAGAGGTAATTTATCATCATTTAAAATTCCCTGCAACTTCACATTACCAACAAGAATTCACAGTGACAATCACAACAACACAATAATTCAACATAATTCAACATTGACCATAAGCTTAACAATTCAATACCACATGAAACTCATATTATTCAGCCAAGTATTCAACACACCGTATCAATTAAAATATATAACAATTGTTTCGTATAATTATTCAGACAAATCGACTAAATTCTGCTAATTAATTATCGGCTAAACATTCCATTATTTCTACTTTATACTAATATTCCTTATTAGTTTTCTGATAACTTAATACTACACTGCTATCCAATTCTGATGTATACATATACCAACTCCATTAATTAACTCTACTATAATTAGTTACTGATATACGAATATTCTGCAACTCATTCACTTTCTGCTAAATATGCTTAGGTACTGGTTCTACTAAATTAATTTCTCAGTTCTAATATCTTAATAAAAGTCTTTTAATTCTGTAGGCTACTAATCATTGACTTCATTGTGTAAACATTATGCTTACAGAACTAACAAAACAAAATAATTAAGTAGCACAATAAGGAATTTAAAGGTGGCCCTCTGCACATGGTGTGCCACTTGACACACCCTTATATTCTAGTGCGCCCCTCGGCACAAATGGTGTCCCCCTCGGCACACTTTTTCTTTCTGTGTCATTCGGCACAGTCTGTGTGCCTCTTAGCATCGTATAGCTTTCCAGTTTCTAGTTTTTCTCTTACGCAGAATTCTCTGTAGTTGATTCTAATACTCAAAATTTCCTTTGATTACTTAACTCATAACAGAACAATTTATACCATTGCAGCAACATCAATTTTCATAACACGGTATATTATGGAAACCATAACAACTTTTAATTTCCAACAGCAACATCAGTTATACCACAATTTATTATACAAACAACTCATGAACGATTTTAACACAGTAAAACAAAATTAATTCTTAAAACAGAGGCGGCATACAAATGCATATCAATTTCACTTACCCAATTTCCCACATAAAATTTATCATGCAAACCATTAGATAATCAGAACCCCACCCTTACCTTGGATTGGAGATTGCTATATTCTACCAGTTAAAGTCTCTCGCCCTAGCTTCCAACCTTTGCCTCTTCTCTGTAACTTTGAAACTTCTCACGTTCCCACAAAATACCCAAGAGTTTTTCCTTATTCCTTCTAATTAACCTAATCCTCACAATTAGCTTAACCTTATAGTTGTTAATATTCTTATTGGGCCTAACTTTCACGCCTCACCTATTACTCCATACAACCAAATAATGAGTCCAACTAATAAACCTTATATTATTCTAATACCTATATTAATATTATTGCTAATATTAATCAACCAATCAATTAAATATCAACCAAATAACAACTTAGCAACTTAAATCAACATTTCTCGATATTTTGCAACTTCAACAGTTTCAACAACATTTTCAACCATTAATCCATAATTAATTTAATTAAATAATTAATTAAATTAACGGGCGTTACAACAATGAATTAAGAGAAAATAAAATAAAAGAAATAAGACAATTAATTTTCTGTAGAGTTTCTCTCTGCCCACAAACTGTAGAAAACTTTATTATTCACTTGCAATTGCAAATTCTGTGAATACAATGAATTGACTTGATTACAAAAATAGGGGTTACTCCCTCTATTTATAAATTTAGGTTAGCTTGCTCTCTAAGCCAAAGCCAAAAACTATAAAATCCCAAAATACTTATTTTGGAACTCAATCAAATGTATTCTATTTTAGATCTAAATTAAATCTATCTAAATCTAAAATCAAATATGTGTGTAACAAACTGTTTCCGCACTAAATCAAATCTTTTCGATATTCCCTTGTCTCTGTCGAGAAAACTGCTTCAACATAAGGAATTACTTTCAACAAATAGGAGGAAACACCTCAAAGAACACTCCCAGTGGTAGGTAAATTGTAGTTCATCGTTGTCAGCTTCATCAGCCAACTCCAAGTTTTCTTCATATAACTCATTCAAGTATGAAAATTTGGCATGAGCACCTCTGGTGCTCTCACACTTCATCAGGGCATCTATTGGACCAACATCCAAATAAATGACCATCATTTCCTGGACTTCATCACGTTTGATCCTAGAATGATCAAGTAACTTCTCCTTGGTGGGAAGGTGTAGAAGGCAAGCAACGTCATCTAGGCTAATCGTTATCTCGACAATAGGGAAATGGAAAGACGACATTTCTTTATGTCATCTCTCAACAAAAGCCCCCTTCATGCCATGGCTAATGGTCTTGTACTCGAAATAAGACATGCCGACAAGACTGGAGTATCAGATGACACTTTGAAACCAATCATCCTTATGTTGATAAAGCTTCAAAAATATTTCTATTATGATTAACAGAATTCAAACAATCGTGTTCTTGTTAAAAATATATAACAATATCATTCGTATAGAATTTGTTTAAATCATATAAACGACTGTTAGCAAATATACCTCTCCAACCCAGACATGCCCTACAACTTGATCTCTATAGTATATTGTAACACCCCAAAATCTAGAATTACTTATTTAATTGATTATTTGTGAATTATTGATGATTATCTATGTGATGTGTGTATTATGTTTCGGGGTAGTGTGGATTAAGGTGCTAGTTAGAATTATTTAGATTTAAATAATTTAGTTTATTCTATTTTAGAATTATTAAATATTAAGTAAAATAGTTGGTGTGTAGAGATAATAAGGGCATGGTGGTAATATATGATGAAAATTGAGAGCATAAGGGGAATAACATAGAAATGATCTTAGGGGTAAAAAGAGAAATAAGGAAGAGAGAATTCATTATGTACGACCGTAGTTTGGGGAACGCGAAGAAGAGGTTAAGGCTCAGAGGAGGATTCTGTAGAACACGAAGAAGAGAATCAATCGCTACAAGTTAAGGTATTGCTTTTAATCTGATTTATTATAATCGATAGAAGGTTAGGGTAGTGGTAGGGTTTTTTCCTATGTGATTATTGTGATGGAATTGTTGATTTATGATGTCTGTATGTTTCGATTTGTGATGAATATGATGTAAAGATGTATTTTGATGTTAACATGTAATATATGATGATTGTTATGCAATTTGGACTGAGTTTAGTACTATAATTGAATTGGAATGAGGCTAGAGCAATGCAGAAATCGCACTGAAAAGTTGCAGGATAATGACCACCGTCGGGCGAGCTTGAGGCGAGGAGTGCGCCCAAGAGTCGCCAGACGAGGCAAGAAGCGAAGGGAATGGTGGAAAAGAGATGCTCTTGGAAAATTTATGGAGGTGGTCTATCGCCCCAACATTGTCGAGCGAGAACCAGGAGAGTTGAGCGCCTCTAACATCGCCAGGTGAGCCTCAGGCGAGCAACCCTGGCAGCAATTTGCAGAGGCCATAACTTGAGTTTCAAGAATCTGTTTGATGCACCATTCAAAGCGTTGGAAAGCTAACATGCTGAACTATAATATGATGAAATAATATGAGTTAACTTATATGTTATTCTTGTACTTATATGTTATTAAATTAATTACTATATGTTGATATGCTAATATGTCCTACTATAACGATGAACTTAATGATGTTATGTCATTGCTATGATGTTGTTGTTGTGATGTGCTTGATGTTATATGTGATAATGTTTTTATGGCGTACATGTTAACATATTTACATGCTATGTGAAGATGATTATATGAATGATGATGCACTTGACTAGCCCTAGTCAAATTTTACATGACATTGTTGTGCATCATTCATTCATAACATTTTTGGACGGTGGTCCGCTTATGATGAGCCTAAATCCTATTGTATGGATTTAGTGCGTTTATGATGTGCTCTGGTTTCAAGAGGGAATCAATCATATGGTGGAGATCTTTGGAGGGAGATGAACCAGGTGTTCATAAAATATTGGTACCACATGTATTGAGTCAGTGTTGTACATTAACATTCTATGTGACATTACATGAGTTTTGTTGATGAGATGTGACATGTTGACTTTATGATGATTTTTATAACAAAAGTTGTACGTGTGTTAATTATGATGCAGAGGTGTGAGTATGGATTATTGACGAATGCTATGTGTTGTTATATTATGATGTTAATTGCAACTACTAATCTTTTCCTTATATCTTTTATAATAAATTGTTATTACTCACCCTTTCTGTTTGAATGTTGCCTCCACATGGGTAACGCGAAAGTGATTAGGAATAGTTCGTAGAAGCTTTGAGGATAGCTTCAGAGTGTCTTATTTAGTTTGATGCATTAGTGGTGTCTTTCTCTGATATGTAACATCAGGTTGGGAACACTATGTTTGCGAATGACGTTGTTTTTGTTAACATGTTTTTATGAGGATTTTTTTATGTTAAAGTAGTTTCTAATAATTCCTTCGATGAGGAGATAATACTTGAGTTTTGAAAGTTTAATGAAGTTTTATTTATGACTATGATTATCCACTATAGAGTTTAATTGATGTGTTGATGTTATATCAAAGGGAATGATGTCTTAAATGTTGTATCCCTTGTTACGGAGCAAGATTGTATTTATGTTGTTTTGTTATGAAGTGTGACAGGCTTGTGTTGTGGTTCTTAATTAAATTATTCATAAATAATATGTGATATTTAGAAGGGTGTTACATATATCATTAAGGAGGTCACAGAGGGCCCTCCTGGATAAGGGTCTGCAAGTGGAGGGACACCACCATGTGCAGCAGTAGCTTCCTTCTGGTTTACATTAGTAAGGGAGACGTGCCCTTGGGATGAGAACCCAAATGACATGTGGATCCTAGAAGTCAATGCTTCCCCATCAAGAAGCCTAGGGATGGTTCTCCTCCTAGCTCTGACATGCTCATTCTGAATTCTAGCCCTCTCATGTCGAACAAATGCGTGCTGGGTTTCACGCCCGAGTCTTATTCCGTCGTCGTTGTTTGCAGTCATTTTCCAAAAATGATAAAAAGAGTTTAGTTTGAATCTAGGATATTTTCGAATATGCATCTTCGAAAATCGGAAGGGATACAATTTGGAGATGCATCTCCAAATAATCTCGTGTTTGCAATAATGACATAAACGGATAATAGTCTTGCCATAAGAACCCAAAATACAAACAAATCATAGTGCATGTCTCTAACAACTATCTATTTTGAATGTGACTACTATCTAATGCATTTAAAATAAGCTATTTCACCTAATACATTAATTAAAATTCAAAAAGTTAAATGAGAAATTTACTAAAAAAAGTATTGATGAGGATGAAAAATATTAAATTTAGTAAGTGTGGTGAGTTGGAATTTGAAAGATTGAAGTATAGGTAATGTTGTTCCTTGAAAATTCACTGGAAGAATGTTACTCACAGGCTCCAATGGGATATCTCAAAAGTTTTAGAAAATTAAGAAGGAGAATAGTGAGGGTTTGTTGCGTGTTATATATCAATTGAACGCGTCTAGAGATGCATCTCCGAAATAAAACCAAAATTTGAAATTAAGGGTTAATCCAGAGATGCATCTGCGAACAAAATCTAAAACACAAACGAAAATGCATCTCTAAATTAAATTTTGGTAAAGAGAGGGAAACTAAACTATTTGCACTTATTTTATGTGAAATAATACGTCCGAAAATGAATCTCTGAAAATTAAAAACGTTTTTGACTTTTCGTCAAAGATTTAAGAGAATTTATAGAGATGGGAAAAGAAATTTCCTAATTGAACTAGTGTACTTTTGGATGAACAATGAAAAGAGTGTAAATTTGTAATCATCCTTTATTCAAATGTGTTAGTAATTTTTTAACCAAATTTTATTAATGACAAAATACTCATTTTGGTCCCTTAATTATATCCTTGAATTTACATTGGTATCTTAACTTTTTTTCGTGTCATTTTGGTCCCTTAATTTTCAAAAAGTTCTATTTTAGTCATTTTTGTCTAATTAGCGACTGAAAAACTTTGAAATCTGTCGCTAAATAGACAAAAAAGACTAAAATAAAACGTTTTAAAAGTTAAGAAACCAAAATGACACGAAAAAAAAAATTAAGAGATCAATATGAATCCAAAAGTATAGTTAAGGGATCAAAATGAGTATTTTGCCTTTATTAATCAAATACAAAGCACACACTCACAAAGGCAATCAAAATGATTTAGAAGCTACTCTTTCCTCCATTGTTTACAAAAAAGACTTGTCTTTTCTAAAGTTTACTGTACTACCAGACACAATCTAAGGGTGGGAAAAGAAGCTTAAACGATTTTGCAAATGTGTATTTGGGTTTGTGCTCCAAGTATCTTTTACATATGAAATGCGGATTAAGGATTATTATATTAGATTGTAAATTTATTTCTTTCAACTTTGAGTTTCCTCTATAAATGAATAAAGGCTTAATGCATATTTTAGTTCCTTAACATAATTTAAGGTTTCACTTTAATCCCTTATTTAATAAATGTTTGTTTTAAGTCCTTTAAATGTCATCCCGTTAATCACATTAGTCCTATCCGTTAAACTTTGTCAAATTACATTAACTTATGCCTGTGTGGCATGCCATCTGTTTCTAGGTTATATGACATGAAATTATTTTAGTTTATATTAATTTAAACTTAAATTTTCAAAACAAAAACTAAAATGTATTTTGTACCCTTAAGTTTCTCTCTTATCCTCTCTTCCCTAACCTTAACCGTCACCTTTTCTTCCTTTAGCCATCACCATTTTCATCACTCATCATCATCATCATCAACTGTAAAAATCCTCCTCAATCAAACTGGAAAAGCTTAGAGAACTCAGATCTCTAAAACTCCTCATCAATCTACTGTAAAACTCCTCCCCACTATCAGTGGAAGAATCAAAACTCTTAAAGATGATTGAGAAATGTTCTTATTACAAAGAAGAAAGTAATTTTATTTTCGATCTTAAAGAGTTTGAGAAAAAGGCTTTGATTTAGATCTGAGTGAACCTCACATAAACAATCCCGTTGAACACGAAGATCATTAAAGTTTGTTGCAAGAGGAGGTCTTGGCCGTGAGTCAGGTTCGAGAACCATTGAGTTTCAATCTGAGTGAAGTTTCAGTTTGTTAAGGCTTCTAATATAGTTTTTATTGTCCAGTCATGTTTCGAGCCTGGGAGTTTGAGGGCATTTTGTTATAGTATTTTCCATAAGTTGTGTTTTCTTGAAAGAATTACTGGTATTGTCATTATTATTTTGGTTATGTTCTTGATTCTTGAAGAAATTTATTTTTGTTATGTGTCTTGGTGTTATGCATTGTGTAAAAGTTGTTTCAAGTTGTTCTGAATCATACCCCTGAGGATAGATTAAGCAAGTAATTATATTGAAATTTTGCTTTTGATTGAAAAAGCTAATTTACTTATCTGTTTCATTGCAGGCGTGGACTCTGGAGGCCTCTACAATCTTAGGCTTTAGTGTGTTCCGAATTAAAGAAACGTGTTAGGTTTTGCTCGGCGAGTAGAGAAATAGAGGACCTAAAATAATTTAGATGAGGGCATTCTACAACAGTATGAAACTTTAGAGCAGCAATTGAAATTACAAATGACCATAATGGAATTGGTCAAGTTGTGCTTCAAACTCTACAAGACGCTTCATCATGGGTGAGAAGAACTTGTTGATTGATAACCATGTCGTGAGTATCAACCTGGTTTGTTAACTTTATCATAAATTCCAAACCTCGAGACCATGTGAGTTCATATTATGTCACATTTTCAACAATCTTGCTAGAAACAAGTTCAAGTGGAGAGATACCAAGACTGTTATATTGCATTACCTGTAGATTTATTTGTGCCACCATGAAACTTAACAATTTCTTATATATTCATGTAACAAAAATTATTAGCTCCCTCTAATTAAGTGTTGAAGAACAAGACTGTGGATTCAATGGTTTTCTTTGTTCTATTAAAGCATCAATATGTTGTGAGTATCAATCAGGTTTATTGTTTAGTATAATACAAGCACTAGAGGCTCTTCATCTCGTAATAATTAAAGCGTATATTGCGACTTTCGGTTGAAGAATGAAGAATGTGTTTGTTGTAATTAGCTGTGGGGAACAAAATTTTAATGATTTTGAAGAATCTTGTTTATATATATTGTATAGATTGCATGTGTATAGATTGCATGTGCAGTTAATAATATTTTGGGTTGATTTAGAATGATATTTTTATACTCTTTTTTTGGTTAATGTGATATGAAAATGAAGTTGTTGTATAGCTTATTTGCTGGTTTCTTTGTGTTGGTTATATGCAGAATTTACAAAAGTTTCAGCATTAAAATGACATTTTATTTAGAAACTTACGGGAGAATAATTGTTATATTTTTTTTTACATATTTTTAACAATTTGCGGGGGTTTTTAACCTCCGAAAATAAAACCCCTGCAATTTAAATAAAATACTATTTTTTTAGTACATATGTTGACTCAGACATGTCTTGCTGACCCAATCTTGTTTTGTTGTCTTGCCACGTAGGCAAAGTTAATATTTTTTACAATCAAATTAACGGAATAGACTTAGTTAGTTAACAGAAGTATCGTTAAGGGAATTATTTATAACATTTATTACATATGAAACTTCAAGACTAAATAAGCCATGAATAAAATAAACTCTTAGCCTAATTTAGTTTGTAGGTGTTTAGTTATTGGCATGCATTTTTGGTAAAACCAGGTGTGTGAATGTCATGACTAATGTCATAACATTCTGATTTATTAGGTACCTTTGCGGAAAAATAGTGGCATACAGGTACTGCTGTTTATGAATGTGTATCTGAGCATTTTGCAAAAAGATCACATTTATTGTCTTCTCAGTAAACAGGAATTCTGATGTCATAACAAATGTTAAGACATCCTGTACTGATCTAACAGTAGTGCAGTTTGGTTAATTTTGAGATTTTTCAGGAAGTTGGCTAATTCCTTCCAGAACAGAATCTCCCGTTGTCTTTGGGTTAACCTAGCTCAACCCTAAACTGGTTGATAAAGTCTTGTGACCAAGTCTTATGGTTAAACCTAATTAACCCTAGCTTTTTGTGGAAACCCTAACTGAAGAAACAACTGCTATATATTCAACAGGTCTGTTGTTTGGAAAACAACTCTTGGACTGAAGATCAATTAGAAACTGTATAGTTTTAACTGCTGTAATCCAAGCAATTATCATTTTGATAAGTGACTTGGAATAGGTTTTGTTTGTAAGAGTTTTTGTACCACTCAAAGCTTTGAAGCAAGAGTGTTTTGTGTCTCTTGACTAAAGCTTTGAAGCAAAGTCAAGTTAGGTTTATGTCTCACTCAAAGCTGTGAAGCAAGAGTGTTTGTGTTGCTTGATTAAAAAGCTGTGAAGTATAATCAAGTGTATGTTTTGAAGAGTGTCTTCATTAATTCATTAGTCAATTGTTTTAAGTATCACTGCTGTGATTGAGGGGGAGTGAGTAGGAACTCAGGTTTAAGTTGTACTTAGATTGAAGTTGCATTGGGTAGGTCTTAAGTGAAGGAGATAAACTGGTTGGTTTATTCATGAATTAATATCTCTTATAGTGGATTTCCTTCTTGGCTTGGTAGCCCCCAGAGTAGGTGTTGTTGCACACTGAACTGGGTAAATAATTGACTGTGTTCTTTACTGTTTTTGTATTTACTGTCTTATAGAAAGTCAGATACGGTGTCATAACTTTGAACGTGACATTGAGTATCTGCAGCCAGAATTTCAATTGGTATCAGAGCAGGCACCCTGCCTGTATTACTGGGTGAGATCTAGGGATATCACTTTCTGGCATTATGGACAAAGAAGGAGTTTTTGGAAACAGACCACCCATTCTGGATGGATCAAATTATGACTACTGGAAACCTCGTATGATTGCCTTCTTAAAATCACTGGACAAAAAGGCCTGGAGAGCTGCTGACAAAGGATGGAACCATCCCATCATAACTGAGAAAGATGGGACAATCAGTCTGAAGCCTGAGGAAGAATG